GTCGGCGGTGTTCGAAACTGTGTAGGGTTCAAAGTTAAAGCTGGAGTTTCACGCAACCCAGACTCCAAAGCCATCTGCCACTCCAGTCAAGCACATCCCACCGCTGGCGTGGAAGCCACATTGCCAGCTGAACTAGCGTCGTCAGTCTGAATAGGATTGCCGAACATGCATGCAACACATTGGATTGCGCCTGTGCATTGAAGCGTCCATGGAGGCAAGCCGCTACAGTCCTTGGGTTCCAAAGCACACTTCCCCCCGCCCCACCAACCCTTCCACCCCCCAGAGGGACGAAGGGAGGGGACAGGGGGACTTCTAGATCGAAGGGGGGACGAGAGGGAGGAAACACAGCGACATCATTAAGAGAGCCTTGGAAAAGGATCCAAAGATGCCCAAGCAATCAGTGCCAGCCTTTGCAAAAATCATCCCTGAGCGGGGTTCACCCGCTCGTGTATAGTATTCGACCGAAATCAAAACGAAGCTGGAGGCTGGAATGAAGCCGGAAGACCCGCTTACTCGGCTGGTTCGCTTATGCCTGGGGTGCCAAGTGCTCATCCTCAACCTGAACGAGGCCGGGAGCTGGAATGAGGCCGGAAGGGTCACTGACCCGCTTATCCTCAACGTCTGGGATGCCAGATGCTTGTCCTCAGCCGGAACGAGGCCGGAACCGCTTGCCCGGCTTACTCTCAACCTGTGTGGGGTGCCAGGTGTCGTCCCCAACCCGAAAACCCGGCTGGTTCGCTTCTCCTGAACCTGTTTGGGGTACCAGGTGCTTATCCTCAACCTGAACGAAGCAGGGAGCTCAAATGAGGCCGGAAGGGTCACTGACCCGACATATCCTGTATGGGGTGCCACGTGCTTATCCTCATTCTCAACCTAAACGAAGCAGGGAGCTGCAGCGAGGCCAGAGGGAGCGCTTACCGGCTGGTGCGCTCATCCTCAACGTGTTTGGGATGCTAGGTGCTTATCCGAACGAAGCGAGGAGCTGGAATGAGGCTGGAAGGCCCGCTTACCCGGCTAGTACGCTTCTCGTCAACCTGTATGCGGTGCCAGGTGCTTATTATCATCAGCGTGAGCGAAGCCAAGAGCTGGATTGAGGCCAGAAGGGCCGCTTAATTGCCCAGCTGGTTCGCTTCTCCTGAACCTGTATGGGGTGCCAGGCGATTACCTTCAACCTGAACGAGGCGGGGAGCTGGAAGTACCGCTGCAGTGTGTGCGCGGAAAACAAAGCCCGCGTGCAGAGAATCTACCAAATGCCCCGTGGAATTAAGTGCAAAATCATCCCATGCAGAAACCTGGACAATTGTTGATATCTGGAAAGGCAGAAGAAAACATTGACAAACTAGTTTACAAAAGCTGCGATTCAACTGTGTAATGTCTGGCTTGAAGACTCGACAGCAACAGCACTCAGCCTTCTTTAGCAGATCTGTTATAGTTGCCACGCTAATTTCGGCCTTCTTTAGCAGATCCATTATAGCTGGCACGCTGGGTTCGGTACGATGCGCCTCCAGGCCTGGCAGGATAGGTCTGATAAGTTCGTTTACCTCAATATTTTGCAATTCATGCTAAAAGATTGAGAACTTAGATTATCTGTTTTCTACAGTTATAGATAATATGTTATATCAAGTTGAAAAGGACGCGACAGCCGACTTGCGAAGTCCCGAGCTGAGATGCATGTGCACCGACTTTCGAGAAATATGGAATGCGTTCTCGAGCAAATGCTTCTCAGATCTTCTCTACACCGTTTAGGACTCTGCAGAAGCTCGCTGGCGCAAACTCCGAGAGATCAAGGATAAGCTGCATGCAGAGGCCTCAGACGCTCCGGAAGTCCATATGTACACTTCCTACGAGCCTCGCTGCAAGGGTATCGGGTAGATCCAGAAGGTCGTGGACGTTCCCACGGACCAACAGGGCTTCTGGACATTGCTTTGGCTCGCGTCGGTAACCGCACTGGGTCTGGTCACTTGACCTGCAAAATGGATGCTGGGCCCACGGACATGTCTCCATCATTCTTGAGGCTTTGGTTGATCCGCAAGCCGGCAAGAGCTGCAAACGGCGAATGTGCAGCTTGCCAGGCAAAGAAATCGAGGACAAGGCGCCTAAGCTCCTGCTCCCACGTCTGGGCTTGGGAGGATGACCTTCTGGACGAGGCAGGAACACGCGTTGACAGATAACTCCTGCACACCAACTTTTGGCCAAGTGTGCCTGCCAGGTCTGAGCAGCCGCCGCAGTGCGTGCGCGGCAGGGATGCCAAAACAAAAGAGTCCTGGGCGCTTGGCGTCGAAGCTCCAAATGAATCCACGCAAAATCCTGGAAGCTTGCCTCAACAAGTCTTTATGTTCAACTTTATCTAGGCTCAAAAGATCATTTGCATCCGCAACCCTCGATTTTCGTTGCTTAAGGCGCGTGAGGATCCTTGCAGCCCACATGACAAGGGCCTTGTTGCCGCTACGCTCCGCAGGATGGACCAAACCGCAGCAGCTTGTGTGCAGCCAGCCTCTCAGAACTGCTCAGCCACAGCCGAATTGTAGACTTGTCTCAACGATGCCAGGCGGAACTATGCAGCCGAGAAAGCATGGCGCAACACGCTAACAAGAAAGCAGTCGCTGCCTCGTTTCAAGTTACCACCATCACCACAACGTGCTCCCATGTCAGGTTGAAGAAGTGGACATCGGCGACAGCCGACGAGCGAAGTCCCGAGCTGAGATGCATGAGCATTGACTTTGGAGAAATATCGAATGCGCACTTCAACAAATGCCGGTCAGATCGTCTTTACGCCGTTTGGGACTTCGCAGAAGCCCGCTGGCGCAAAATCCGAGAGATCAAGGACAAGCTGCGTGCAGAGGTCTCAGACGCTCCGGAGGTCCACATGTACACTCGATGCGGGCCTCGCTGCAAGGGCATCGGAAGGATCCAGAAGGCCGTGGACGTTCTCAAGGCGAATGGATGGGTCTGCATGGATCTCAGTTACGTAAAAGTGAAGCGATCACCCGGACGTGCAGCTAGCTAGGCGAAGAAGTCGACGACAAACCCGACCCGTCCTGCTACTGGTGGCGTCTGAGCTCCTGCTCCCACGTCTGGGCTTGGGAGGACGACCTTCTGGACGAGGCCGGGGAAAACACGTGGCCAGCCAACTCCAGCACACCAACGTTAGGCCAGGCCAAGTCTGCCTGCCAGGTCTGAGCTGCCGCCGCAGTGCGTGCGCGGCAGAAACGCCAAAACAAGAAGAGTCCGGAGCACTTGTTGGTCCGTGATCCGGCTGCAGCTGCTTATCTTCGACATATATGGAGACCCCGGTGTTTATCTAGGCTCAAAAGGTTGTTTGACAAGCCATCCGCAACCCGCGCATTTCCTTGCTTAAAGCGCGTGATAATCTCATGGATGAAGCAACGTGTGCACATGACTCGTGCTGCCCGGTGTGCTCGAGGTGAGTTGCAGCAAAGGTTCTGAGAATAGCAGCGAAAAGACTGAAGGTGCAAGCAGGGATTCCGGTTTTGAAATACACAAAGAGCAGAAGTTCGAACAGTAGAACGGGAAGTAGTCGCTAGCGTAGTTTTGACAGCCATGGACACGTGTGCAAAGGCTTCGATTCCCAGGCAGGCCTGACGTGCTTCGTATGCCTTTTCACAGGAATGAATAATTGAATGAAAGTAGTGCGGCAGGCCAGCAGCGGATGCAACGGACATGATGGAGCTCTTCTTATCCGATGCTAGGCTGGCTACCCGTCATGTGGTCGTTTATGTTTGCTTGGACTCTACATCGCTTTCAGGCTGGTGGAGTGGCGAGGGGGGAAGGAAGGGACTTAATTATGGGAAACAAAGTCTGTGTGCCGGTTTCGGAGGCGCAGGTCCCATCGGCAAGTGCCCGTCACTGAGCCTCGTTGCTTAGCAGCATGCATGCTCCCCCGATCGTTCAAAACGTGAGCACAGGCGGGCTCTTGGCGAATTGGCGAGTCGAAGGCCTGTGGTGGAACCTTTGCTTCAAGGTGAAGGCACGCTTGAGGAAGGTTCAACACCAGGATTCTCTTGAGTGGCAGACACAAGAGTATGTCAGGACAAAAGAGATCTCCACGGTCACCAATTTCTCGAGCTGCTGAGACAGGCATCGGATGTTGCCTGCGTCGGAGAAATGGGATGGCTTGCTTGGCAGGTGCGTGAATTGCCTTTGAAACGGCAAATTCTCAAGAAGAACGGATGGAACTGTGGGAGCCTCATGATACTCGGAAGGATGTCTGCGTGGGTGCTTGTGTAGGCGTGTGGGTTGTCTATCTGGGTGTCGATGTTTTCTTAGGCTTCCGCGATCCCGAGACCAAGCGAGATTGGTGGTATGAGGAAGCTACCCAACACGCGATCTGGGACAGGGACTGGCCCTATCGCGTTAAACTTCGCTTTCTTCAAGGCTTCTGTCTGCACTTGGCAGGATCTATGAGGATCTGGCAGCGTCTCCGGAGACGATTAGTGCACCCGGTACCGTCGCAAAAAAAAGGTGCTATGCTCTTGCTCTTGATTTCATTCTGTCTGTGTAAGAGATAGTAGACGCCTGTCGTGTGGGCATTGACATGGCAAGCGTCGTTTAAGACAACCACATGCCCTAATGCAACTTGTGCTTCTGTTGACATAAAGCATGCCTGCAGATGGCTTCAACTACTCGCAGCACACTGTATGATCCGGAAAAATTGCCGCATTATCATACCTTGCTGTGACGTACATCATGCCTTGCAGCGCCTTCCAGGCAACCCCAGTATCACCAATCTGTGAGTGATTCATATTGCTAAGTCGTTCTAGCTTTGGGAGATTGGCCCTCCAGCAATGGAGTGTCTCTGAGTATATGCATATTTGTATACACATCTCTATATATATACACATAAATAGTTATATGTTTATGTCTAGTATGGAGATGCTTCAGCGTGTGTCTTTGGGGAAACCTGCTTTTCACTCAGCTGTGCTTCTTTCTGCAGTTTGGCTTGCATCGAAGTGTGTAGTTTTCATATCTCTTACCCAGCAATGGAGCATGTGTGGGAGCCCGGGCCTGCGAAGTTCACCGTTCCTATCAACCCCCTATCCCTCAGGTTCAACCACGACAAGTCGGTCGCTGACTTCTTGAAGTTCTCGCCTCAGAAGCTTCTCTGCCAGCCTTTCATGTCTGCAACGGCTAGCTCTCCGCAGGCACAAATTCAGCGGTGCGGTGAACGAGAAGTTTGTCGAAACGCTCACAACAAACCAGCCAGAACCTCGCTCTCTGCGTCCAGTGCTTCGAAGTTCAAGTTGTGTTCCTGTTGCCAGGCGCAAGAAATGGCTCCGTGCCAGCGACATACAAAAGAGTTGGAGCCTGAGCACCGTCCTCACGACCGCCATTCCCTCCAGAATGTCCTCGCATGTTTGCGTCTCAGGTCAGCTGATGGTGCAATGGGACTTCGCCGAGCGTCGCTGGTGGGACATCCGCGAGGCACGGTCTCCGTACGCCCAAGCCATGTCAATCGTGAAATCAATGCCTTCATTCTCTGCGGCGTGTGCAGGGCCGTTACCCGCCCACCGACGAGCCCGGCTTGGAAGCGACAACTCCCCCTCCGCCTCCACTGCCGCCGCACCCTCCATTGACGGACCCCAAGCTGCCGGCGAAGCCGGCTCGCAAGCCGCCGTCTCCCACCGAATCCATGGCGAAGCTCCTCCGCGTCGGCGCCCTACACTGATCCTTGCAACGAAACGCAGACCAAGCTAGCCAATAGACTGCATCCCTCTGTTGCCGAAGTCCTGTGCGACGGAAGCGAACAAGCGCGAGCTTCTGGTGAACCACGGGTGGACAGGCCAGGGACAGGAGCAGCTTCGGGTCGAGTCTTTGTGTTAAGATCTCAGATTTTCCACAGGCTACCAAGCCCAGAAGAAGGAGGAGTGGGTAGTGTGGTGGTACCTCAGCGACACCATCTGGGCGTGGGAAAGCGATCTCTTCGGAGCCGAAGAGGCAAGGCTAGGCGAGAGAGAGTGGCCAGTGGAGTCAGCTGAACATGTTTTCGTGCCAGGCCAGCGCACAGTGAGCGGGCAGCTTGCTGCAGTGCGCGCGCAGCGCCCAGGTACAAGGGAATGCCAGCAAAGAAAGAAGGAAAGCAAGTGCTTGTAGGGAGAATGCAGCAGAGAAGGGGCATTATGTTGCATGACAGGGCACTCGACGACACGTCCATGCCGGAAATATGCTGTTGCCGTACCACCTCGGCTCGAAGCTATCCTGGTCGCTAGCCTCGCCTATAGCCTTCACACGCCCGGTCCTCATCTGCGCCCGCTGCCACTGAGGTCCTAGCGGGTTGGGTCAGTGTGGCCATTCATCGTAACCTTGCACGAGTGGCTCCTGACTAGGAGTTCACGATCCGAGACACGTTGATGCGCCGGCGCCGCTTGCGGCGCGATGCGAGGCCAAGGAGCCTAGACAACCGTGAGAGCACAAGCATCGAGCCTACGGAGAACAAGCACGCGTGCAAAGCGCTCCTTTTTCAGGTGGCTTCAAGTCCCGGCAAAGCTAGTTTTCAACCCTTCGGCTGCATTGGCGAAGCCCCTACGTCGACGGTTGTTTCTTAGCTGTGCGGGACGAAGCGCGGCAAGTTTGTGTGTTCTCTACCTGT